GACCACATGAACCAGAACCGTCTGTGGAGGCTCTTCAGCCGGACTGAGACCAACGATGCTGTGATGTCACACTGAGATTCTATTGGCTGTTTCTGTCCAGGTATTGCTAGCAGAGCCATCAGACCCACGCTGGGCATCGTGGACCCCCTGCACACCCTCAGCATGCCTGAACGGGTCGCCGCCAACAGCGGCTTCGACGTGTTGTGGTGCGTCTGACAAGTTTCTTTACTGGTCGCTGCTGTTGTCGGGCGCTGACAGGCGCCGCTTCCTCTGCTTCTAATAGTCACGCCCTGGAGTCCTACACCGCCTTACCCTACCACCAGAGGGCGCCCTGTCCCACCGACCCCATCCTCCGTCCCGCCTACCAGGGCAGCAACCCCATCAGTGACGTGTGGTCGCGCCATGCCCTGAACGTGGTGGCCAAGTTCATGAAGAGGTACGTTCACCAGCTTCCTGAAGAGCAGGTAAAGCTAGCAGAGCGATACGCCCGACATAGCCCAGTAAACTAGCCCCACCCACCAGCCTGCAGTGGTCTAGCCTTGATCAATGCCCGAGGCCCTAGAACTAGCCGGCCAATCACAACGCAGATATGTGTTTTAAATGTCTGGATGCAAAGTGGGCGGGGTTTTGAGGGCGTGACAACAAAGCTGTGCGATGCTGGAGAAAACACAACAAGGAAGATGGCAGCAACTATTGAACAGTTCTGGTTTGACTCGGCTTTGGAATCAGTTTTGGGGATTTCGTTGAAACCTGAGCAGGAAGATAGCCTGATAAACCAGACTAAATGTGAGATTAAATGTGTAATTTAGTCTGGCCCCGATGAATGAAAGGTTGGAAGATTGTTGATGAGAACAACCCGTTGTTTTTATAACCATGCCTATGCCTATTGGCCGACATTCTGACCAACGAGAGCCACTGACTATGATGTTGAAGTGTGACAGGAAGCTGGTGGGGGAGTGGAAACAAACAGCCTGTCGGTAAAATGGTCCTCAAAAATGAATGAGCGTAGAGAAGGACATATTCGCCGGAAGGTAGGAAGAGAAAACAAACATGACAGCCGTGAAAGGAGCAGGAGGAAGATCCGCAGTAGTGATCATCTCTGAATGGTCAGTTAAATGAGTTCACTATAAAGTCCACTCTATAGTGATGGAGGGGTCAGAGGTCAGGGCGTGCGGTCAGACCCAAAGACAAACCAAAGAGCGTTAGGGGTCAGAACCATCATTAGGGGTCAGAACCGGCATTAGGGGTCAGAACCGGCATTAGGGGTCAGATCCAGTCCAAGGCCCTGCCTGAGTCGGAAACCTGAAGATGTTTTTTCTGTTCTGAGGGCTGTGCGGGACCCGGAGGACCTTGAGGCCCGGTCCAGCATGCACCTGGCTAGCGTGTTTGCAGGGATCGGCTTTGGGAACGCCGGAGTCCATCTGTGGTGAGTTCCTGGGTCGGTTCGGGGTTCTACAGCCAGAGGCTGGTTCTGAAAGACAAACCGTCTGTTTCTCTCTTCAGTCATGGAATGTCGTACCCGATCGCTGGAAACGTGAAAAGCCACGCAGCGAGGGGCTACAGCGTGGAGCACCCCCTGGTGGTGAGACATGAAACGGACACAGAACCCGGACGCTCTCAGCGGGTCTTTGGGTAAATCAGATGAACTTTATGCCCCTGCAGCCCCACGGCCTTTCCGTGGTCCTGACCTCTCCGGCCGTCTTCAGCTTCACTGCGCCAATGTGCCCGGAGCGCCACCTGGAGGCTGCAGAGATCCTGGGTAGGTTAGCCGCCGCGGCGCAGTGCGTTCGCTAGCCTCCAGGTGAACTCGGCCTGTCGTGGATCTTTCAGGTGCAGACGTGCGGCGGGTGAAGCGTGAGGATGCCGGGGAGGTTCTGGCCGACACGCTGCGGCAGTTCCTGTCCGACCTGCAGGTGGAGGACGGACTGATGGCCGTGGGCTACAGCCGAGACGACATCCCGGCTCTGGTGAAGGGAACCCTCCCTCAGGTGAGCTCCTGGCTGCAGCGTCTGGACTCCATGATCCCCCGATGACCTGCTTTCTTCTTCTCCTCTTCAGGAGCGGGTCACCAAGCTGTCTCCGCGGGCGCACACCGAGGAGGACCTGAGCCAGCTGTTTGAATCCTCCCTGAAGCTCTACTGACTACAGCCACCAGGGGGAGCTGCTGTCAGGGTGAACCTGATGGCGACGGTTCCTCTGATCTGAGATCAGAACTTCAGAAGGAAAGATTCTGGTTCTGATGCTTCAGGCCTTTCAGTGATTCTCATATTTAATCGTTAGATTTAGTTGTTGATTAACCAACATTTCAAGCTTTGCTGGATCCTCTCTGGGTGTGATGGGGGGAGGGAGGCGAGGAGCAGAAAATAAAATCTAATGGGAGATAAATTAGAGGGTTCAGACTGAGATGGACCAGATGGCCAGAGGGCAGCAGGTTCTGATGGACCGCAGCCTCCTGCTGCCGCCATTTTAGCGTCCTACCAGAGGGGCGCTCTAAATTTCTTAGCTTTTAATTTCTGCTCTGATTATCAGCTTTGCCACATAAATGACTCTAGATTCTTGATGTTTGATCATCTAAACTTTTGCTAATAAAGTTTTGTTAAACATTCAAAATAAAAGGATTTTACTGAACTTCATTAAATTTCTGTCTGTTTCTCACTATGTGTACTTGTGCGTTCTCGTGTCCTGGTGAAACGTCATCATCCTCAGCCCTAGTGCTGTTCCAGTTCACTAGAACAGCAGACTGAGAATGGACTAAGTCTCCGGATGTTGTTCCTGCCCCTCCCTATTTACCCAGCATGCATTGGAGCAGACAAATAATGTCCTCATGGTTCTAAAATTACTTATTTCTATCCTCGACCCACTGAAGAATCCTAAAACACACCTTTTAAAAAAATGTTTTTACTTTCTGAGACAATTTTGATGCTTTTCTCATTTTCTCCCTTAAAGCTACAGTGTGTAATAATTACATGGATATACAGTCAGAAATGTAATATATTATACATAACTATGTTATTTATCATCATCTACGAGCTCAGCCTCTTAACCTTAATATTTGCGTTGCCTTAGAATTCGTTATTTATAATTACATAGGAGCGGGTCTCGCAGCCATGGAGGCAGACATCTTTGCGCTACGGCAGCGCAGAGCCAACAAACTAGCGATTGCGAGATCTCTGTCATGAAGAAGACACACCTGTTAGTCCGTCTGGCTGCTGCAGATGGACTAACCGTTGCCCTGGCTGCTGCAGACAGATTATCTTTGCTCTCCTCTAATTAATCCAGAAGGTCTGCATCATGCTTTCTCTCCCTCCCAGCTTGGTTGTGTGCTGCAGATTTAGACTTCCCTGGAAATGCCTTTCCAAATTATTATTTTTATTAACTGACAAATTCTCATTCCAAAGCAAACATGCGGGCAATCGCTCCTCATTGACAATGAAAGCAAATTATTCGCTCCATTCTTCTCTGAATCCTCTGTTCTCATCATATCTTCCTTTTTTTCCCTTTGGGATCCATGGCCTGAGACACGGCGCTGCTTTCTTTGCCTGGCGCCGCGCTGCGCTGAGACATGTTGAAGACTCTGACCACTGACCTCTATGGCTGTGACACACATTTTCCTTGAAATAAATGTTTACATATATTGTTTAAATTTGTTTATTCAGTTATTTCCGTTCCAGGATCCACTTCCTGTCTGGCATCAATATTAAAACTGGACTTGATAGCCTATTGGACCGGTACCTGGACATACAGAGAGAAGAGCAGCGGGTAGAACACTGCCAAAGGACTCGGTCCCGATGGTTCCAGACCGGTTACTGCTCCCCTCCTGTAGGGGGAGCTATAGGGTCAGCAGCAGGGCCGGTAGCTGAAGTCCTCCATCCAGGTAGAGGTCTTTGGTCCAGCAGGTTCTAGATGAACTGCAGTGGGTTTGGATCAGAAGGGTTAGGTCATGAATAAAGTCAGATGTTCTGCAGCAGCTGGAAGTTTACAGACGTAAAGAAGCAACCATCAGATACCACAGCTTCAATAAACAGGTTATTAAGTCCTAATAAACAGCAATTAACGTCAATAAGCCCTCTGCTGGTTCTGAGGCCCTCTGGACCAGTGACAGGTTGTTTTTGGCCCGGTCCATGGCAGAGGGGGGTGTTCTAGGAATGTTTAATCCATGCTAATCTCATCCAGGAACAGATCCAGGTTATGTAAACCTGGTCTTAGTGACCCTGAACGCAGCACAGAGCTCATCTGCTTCTGCTGGGATGGAGCGCTGGAAACGGACCAGAACCAACACACTGAACACCCCGACCCGGTTCTGCTGGGAGTCCAACACAGAACCTGCAGAGGTTCAAACGAGGCCAAGTGGGGTCCAGGTTACTGTCAGAAAGAAGC